CAGCTCAAATCACTAGATTGATGTTTGGTGAGAGAAGGGTCCAAGATAACAGGAAAGAGGTTAGGTAGGCAGACAGCCCAATGAAGAGTGACGTGACGCAGCGTCGTGCAGCGGTGGTCTGTCTGACTGACGGATGTCTATGCGGGAGCCTTGTAATGCTGCCTACAAACAGTCGGATGTAACTCTCAAGTGGCTACAGTTTGGAGCACGTCATTGCATTACAACAAGGGATACAAAAACGTGCACCAACATTTCGGAGCAGTCCATGTAAAAACTGGTCTAGAGCCCCATTATTGAGTCAAGTTATCTCTCCTTGGGTGTTCTTGTCAGTAATTAAATTGAGCAATTAGAAGATGTTCGTCTTGTTGTGAAGGCTGCAAAGCACTTCCAACGTACAATCACCGACCGCAAAGAATGAATGGGAACTCTAAATTCGTTTTCTGATTGAATCGCAATTGGTTTTGTGACATCTCAGTTGACACAATTAATACATGTAACTACTCAAAAGTTCAAGATGCAGAAAAGGTACAGAAGTCGCACATTCAACTGCAGATCACCACCTCAAGGGTCCCTCGTAGGCTGTAGATTGGAGGTTACTCCTGAAGCGGACTCTACTCGACAGGAAAATTCGTATGCTAAACGATAGACAGCTTTTTATGGTATAAATTAACAAACTGCTTTCTTTTGTTAATTTCCCACCCTAGAATAGACCACTGGAACAACGAGCACGAGCGTATAGTTGTGCTGACTGAGCGCAGCTTCTACATCATTCGCTACGACTTCCTCAGTGGCCACATTCGTGAGAGCAAACGCGTTGGTCTTGGCCAACTGATTTCTGTGACAACTGGACCCCTTGTTTTCCCCACCAAGTCGCTGATGCCGTAAGTGAGAGTTCAATTAATTTATTTCAAAAGAAAAATGCGCGCCTTAGATAAGTAGTTAACTATGAGCATAAAGAGCGAGCGCTTCTTGATAGTTATTTGCTACGTCGCCGCTGAATTTCCTCAGTAGTATGGTTGCTGGTGCCCACTTAGAATAGTGATTTTTTCTGTCGTTTTTTGCCATTGAGAAACCCAAAATAACCAAGATGTTTAAGTCGACTACCGTCTGCTACCTTAAAGCGTTAAATCATCAAGTTTTCTCAGGATATCAAAGACCTTGCTTTGCAGCCTAAGGTCAAGAGGCGATTTGTCAGTATAAGCACAAACAAGCAATGCCTTCAACGATTTCAACCACTCAGTTCTGACAGGTGGTTTCAGTCTTGAAGTCTGCGGCATAATGAATTTAAACCCAATGGAATTAGGATAAAATGAGGAACAGTAGATATTGACTCGGAAACTAAAATATCACAATGGCTGTCACCATGGCAACCACTAGATTGTCAAGACTCAAGCTAATTCACAATGTTCTTTATTCAAAAAAGCTATTATTCGCCCAATAATCAGTATTATACCATTTAATTACTATCAGACATTTATCTACTTATTGTGCAGAACTCGAACCTCACCGGGGGTCCAGCTGGTCTGGGGTGACCTGGGCAGCGTTACAGCCGCCCAGAAGTGGAATCCCCTGTGCCGCAACATGCCGTATGTGGTGTTAACCCACCACCCACTGTTAGTAAAGCAGAACAAACTGCCCAGTGGGCAAGCGAACGCAAACGGAGCTGGTTATGGTCATGACACGAATGCTGGAACGCTGTATGATGTTAACAACTTCCTTCAGGCTATCCGTGACGCCTGCAGTGCATCCAATGTGGAGGTGAGTGCTGATATTGGAGAAGTCTAGGCGCCTTCTACACGTAGACTGGACATTTATCGGTTGTCTCATCTGAATTTTGCATTATGTACATAACACTTCTGTCCCTTGCCCACTCACTGTGACGAGTTTTGCCAAATCAATTTGATCCTTGAAGGTATTTCTTTGTTTCGTTTTAGAGTTAAGTTTCCGAATCCGGAAATGGCTCATTTTTTTATGGTTTTAATTTCAAAAATGGAAGTGCACCAATGCATCCAGGTGATCAGATCTGTGGTTGCAAAATGGACAGGTAAAAATTTTAATCCTCTACTTTCCTTCTATTACAGTTTAAAACGGGCGACATTACCATCGAAAGCTACGGAAACATTGGCAGCGTGGTATTCAATCAGACCAGTCTGGGATTTACACGGTCAAAAGTGCCCGTGGCTGAATAAGAAGACAAAGGTTGTAGACTAAGAATTTCGCCTCCTTCACATCCTCCTCTTGCCACCTATCACTCCTTTCCCATTTGTGTAGCATTGCTTTAGTTCAACTCCATGACCAAGTGTAGCCTCATCTTCTTCTCCACTCTCTTCGTCATATGAATTGAGTCATTGCAAATGGACGTTTGCATGCAAGTGTTGTGATCCAGGCAAGATATCCACCCACTACATCACCCAGACACCGCTATCCAATGATTTTCGTCTTTGTTCTTCAAGTATACACCGTCTTCTGTGGCATTTTTGGCCTATCGGTTGTGATTCTGATTGGTTCAGACCTAAATAGTCGCAATCCCATTTCCAATTGATCACTTGTTAAACTACAATTGGGGAATGCGCTGCAGATGATGTGGAGCGATCTGATTGGCTTAGCGCATAAGAGTGCGGAGTATATTTTTGATTGGTTATGATGGCTGTGTAGGCAGCATCAGAGACTACACAACCAGGCAACGTGGAGTAGTCTGAGTGACCCGGAGTTTACCAACAATGAAGCTCTAACCTGTTGTTCATTTCTGACTGACACTTACCTGCGAGTCGCGGTTGCGTCATCAGACGGTGACAGCAGGTTCCTGGCCAATCATAGGTCGGTTAGCGGAGAAGAGGTATAAAGCCGATTAAAATTACTCGAAATTATAAAGAGTAAGTAGTTTTTTCCTGTGATGACGCGATCCAAATAAGTCACTGCATTTTAAGTATATGGGCAGGTAAGAAATCCAAAGAACCTTCGCTAGACGAAGGTTTTGCGTATTTTGGCAAGAAACGAGTTTCTTTGCTTTTTTTACATGATTTCCATAAGAAGAAAGCTGAAATAATTCTAGCCCATTTTTTCAAAGGTAGTTAAGACTGTATTGGGTTTAAAATTCACTTTAATCTACGATTTCACAGGAAGATACTCTCACAAATGTCTTATAGTATCCAAGAGACCCACAAGCTACTTATATATCAAAGAAACCCCCACTAAATATGGGCTCTTGCGCTATAATGCTCCTCATAGTGTGAGGCCGAATTTTTGATATATGAATTTCCGATTGCACAATGTTATGCTACCTGATTCCCATTGGTTGGCGATTAGTCAATTATGAATGAGAGGGCGTGACATTTTTGCTAGCATGTACACTGAAAGGAAAGAGTTCCTTTTAATTGGTTTAGTGTAATCCATTGAAAGCCAAAAACATTGAATGTATGCAGTGTTCCCTGCCTGAAAATACTTATTTGCAATAGTGCCATTGTTTGAATAAGGGGATTCGCTGGTCTTTTTGGAGGAGTTAAAAATGGACGCTGAGGCCTTCGTACGTTTAGCTAATCACCTTCACTATTGTAGGCATAAGGAACCTTGAAGGGATTCTTAAGGATAAGATAATAGTGGGGTTAGAGGTACCGAATTTGGGTGTTTGATCTGTCTGTGCTCCGAGTCATGATGGGAAGTCTGTAGGCCCAGTTTAGACAGGTTCACATTTAAATGAACTGTTTGTTTTTCTAAAGAAAAAGGTTAGAAAACATGCAAAAGATTTTTAGGAATTCTTAGTTACCTAAATGTCACAAGTTTTTAATTAAATTATACCCTCAGAGTTCTTGAAACGAGTATGATTGCCCTTTTTCCATTCGGAGTTGCTAATTCGTACACAGCCAATACAACGGAACATTAAAAGCGTCGACCAACTTTAAATTTCTCCATCTGTAATGTGGCGAAATGGACTTAAGCAATAAATACGCGAAAGTAGGCGGGGGGGGGGGTGGGACATTGTGATGGATGGCAGGAAAGTTGGCAAGGCGAGTCCTAGCAAGGAGAGGTACAGCCTGAAGAGAGCGGATAGGACATGAAGCTAAAAAATACTAAAAATAGCATCAAATCCCTACTTCTCCCATTGGAAATGGGTGGGCCTTAGGAGCTTATGTAAGGACACAAAGTCCAAAATTTTCAGCAAAAAATAGTGATATTTTGAAATCTCCAAAGAACTACTTAAAACATTTCAGAGTACGTGAACCTACCTCCTTTACTGTAAGATGCCTTAGGTGGCAAATTAAATCAAACTTTTTGGAAATAATTCGTTCGTAAGTAAAAAGTGAATTTGAATTTTCATCAGAAAATTTAAGAAAAGGGGAAAATTCCAATGAGAAAGCGCATGCAATTGATGCGTGCGACCTTGAATGCGTGAATTATTGTCCCCTGCTAAGGTCGAGTTCAAACACGTCCCTCCTGGTCAGCTGGCTGCTGAACTATTGTCGGTGTGGACTCCATTCACTGCTGGATCTGACCTTTAAAAGATCAATGATTCCAAGGTCACGCAACACGTGGTAGGAGGAATTGCACGCGTGCCTCACTAGACGTCTATGTTTTGCATCTGAAAAAGTGGTGATACAAACCCACAAACTGATCTTCAATGAAAGAGGTTGGAATATGTAAGGAGGCGAATGCACCCGTGGAGATGCAAATGCCAGTGGGTCGATTATTTGAGGTCATATCGCTCTTCAAAACTGATCGGCAGAACATCCTTGAGGAGAGCCCACTGAAACGACCTCCCACCGATTTCATAACTTCGCAAGACTGGAGCATCTACGTGAAGATCTGTTGCCATTTACGGCAGAACTCGGATCGACAACAGTTTAAAGATGATTCACAAGGAAGGAGTTGCCTAATTCGACTAGTTTCTGCTTTCAACCAGCTCTACACCGAGTACTCTCTGCTCTGTGATGCTGTAGAAAAGGCTCGTGACAATTCAGACCATTTTTTGAACCAGGAGAAAGCAGGGCATTCACAAAAGAACCGAAATTCGACAAAGGAGGGGCGAGGAAAGGGTGATGAAGGTCATAGTCTAGATTTTCCTCCTTCCGAACAGTTAAGAGAAGTGCCAGTAGATAAACCTCCTTTCTACAAGTTTCAACCAGCTAATTTCGATTATCCCGGTGGAAGAATGGTAGAAGATGCTCCCACTGGATGTTGTGCACCAATTCGACGGAGGGGAGGGAAGATTTCAGTAAACTCAGGGGACATTTTTGACTGCATCCAGCGGCAACCTCCTGAAACCTCAATCTGGGTGAGGCAGCTTAAAATTAACGTAGCTCAGACGGTACTCACATCAAACTTCGAGGTTGATAAAGGTGGGAGAAGTAGACTGGAGGCTGTAAGGCTGCCGATAGCTCTGGAACTTACCCTTCCACGCATTCAGAGGCAGGTTCAAACAGTCATGACTATCTGTCCGTTCATCTATGACCCTCTTGAAGTTATTGCTGAACTAAGGGCTGCTAATTATGATACAGACGTGTGCGTAGGTTATTTTGAGAAGACAAAGTGTCTCAGGGAGATTATTCAAGAGTTTCTGCCCACCAGAACCCTTCGTCCAGCTGGACGTCGAACGTTGGTGAAGGCTGCGGAATGGCCGGAGGTTTCCTATGGAGTGGTTGGTATGTCAGAGGAGGAAGTAGAAGGTTTTCTGTTGCACAACAAACAACGTTTACAAACGATACGCCGACTTCAAAAGGATGCAGTCCGACGAATCCAACGGTTGCACACCTTCAGCAGCGGTCTCGTCTCAGTGATGGAACAGGTGCTTCTAGAGCGAGAAAGTCAGCGTACATCGATGGAGAAGGAGGGCGAAATAGAGCGTTATCGGAATCTGACAGATCAGTTGAATACGCTGACGGAGGAGAATAATAGATTGCGAGAGACTCTGAAGAAGGAAGAAGAAAGGAGAAAGCTCCTATTTAATATGATTCAGGAGTACTTGGGTAATATCCGAGTCTTCTGTCGTGTCCGGGCAATTCCACAAACTGGACGAATTCTAGAAGTTACAGCTTTCGATACAGTGAGTTTGAATGTTAGCCCCTTGGCTGAGGAGTACAAGTTTGATCGGGCTTTCGATGTCAACACAAGCCAGGCGGAGGTTTATGCCGAACTCGTGCCTCTGATATGCTCCTTCATGGACGGTTTCAATGTCAGCTTCCTCACTTATGGAGGAGAATCGAGCGGAAAGACGTACACCCTGATGGGAGGCATGGACGGTTCACCAGAAAGTCAGGGAGTTGTATACCGAGCCTTGAGAACTGTCCTACTGGAGAAGGCAACCAGGCGAGCTGAATGGGACATCTGTTTGAAAGTAGGGGTGGTTGAAATCTACAACGAGACACTGATCGACCTTATAAGCGGTGAATCAGGAGTCCATCTTCGTGTAGACGCAGGAGTTGATCGAATGCTGGACACTTTGCGAACAGTGGAACTTCAAACAGAGACTCAAATAGATGAATTACTCCAACTGTGCAACGACAAGCGCAAGGTAGCCAGAACGGCGCTGAACGATGCCTCGTCAAGATCCCACCTCATTATTCTGGTGAGAGTACGCGCCACAAGTAATATCTATCAGAAGACAATAAGCGCAGTTCTGGCTATGTGTGATCTAGCAGGATTTGAGGATATAATCAAGGCGGATACGATGGGGGATCAGGTGCTGGCAAAGGAGGCAGGTTTTATCAATCGGTCGTTAACTGCGTTGAACCGGGTTTTGACGTCTCTAAAGACACAAAGTCCGATGTCAGTATCATACAGGGATAGCAAGCTGACATACCTCCTAAAACCATTTTTTACCAACTCTGGAAAGTGTATCCTAATTGTGACTGTCCGGACAGATAAGGCAAATCTCCCATCTACTCAGGGCACCTTGCGATTTGGAAGGGATTCAAGAGCGGTTAATCTGGGACGTGCAAGGCGGCAGGTGAGCATGGAAAAACTGATTCAGGATGTGGGAACGGTGTGAGAAAGAGACCTTTTTGCACAGATCTGTTAATCCTCAATCAAAATACAAAAAACCCTTTTCACAGCTCTTCATTGACCTCTCTCCTTGAGACAATACTTGAATCAAATTGATGCATTCGTTTCGTGATGCGATGAAAGTACCGTGGCTCGGAAGTTCCCATCAATCCTTTAGTGAGGACAGGTGCGGAATGTCATAAATAGATTTTCTGGGCCCTAGAAGACAACCAGGAGCTTACTACTTACCATTAGTGCTTGATTAACCTGAGAATTAATTGCAGGTTCCAAAGATGTGGAAGACTTACCCCATAGAACAGATAAGCCACGAGAAGAGGAGTACTCTTGCTTATAACTGGTGGTATTATTTGTGTAAATGAAATTTTGTATACATTCTGGCCAACTGCATACATATAGTACCCATTCATTCAAAGTGGATTTGCTTGTTCAAACGCATTGATCACGCATCTATCACGCCTTCATCCATCCCCAATCCATATATTTATATGTGGCTATCCACCCATCTTCGCTTTTATTACATAACGTTCACTCTATTCCTGTCGCTAGTTGAATATTTTTAATTCAAAGTTAGCGAATTCCTCACAAAACTCTTAATTAATTAGAACAATAGCAGAACTGAATGTCTCTGGTTCCAAATTTCATTAATTTTTTTAAATTTAAGATTGCAAGTAATTTTCACTAAAATGACATAAATAATTTACAAATATCTATACTAAGCTCTACCTTAATCAATCCTC